CGTATAGTAATCAAAGTATGTGATTGGCGCACACGATTCCTGTCACGTACACACACTTGTTCTTAGCCTGGGTTCACGAGCACAGGACCGTCTTTGATATGTTTTAAATGGTTTTAAAACATCTATCAAAAAACTGATTCAACTTATTGGGATTACTTAACACAGGTGGCAATGATGTTTTCTTAATATTTTTAACGTCTAGTTTTTTTAATACTTTCCATCTTTTATTTCTATTAGAAAGTTTAAACTCCATGTATGCCTTCTTTTCTCGTTTAGTGGCAGCTGAGGTCTAGTTCCTTAATTCTTTATAGTACTCCCGATGTGCTGAATCGATTTTTAAATTTTTTAATGCTTTGTCCCTAAGTTTCTGCATGAGCATGATGTTATCGGTTATCCAGGGTTGATTTTTGAACTTTACATTTGATTGCATAGTTTTTAGAGGAGCATGTTGGTCTACAAAGTTTAATATATTAGTATTAAGACATGCTATTTTCTCATCTATATTTTCAATGTGATAAATTTGTTCCCAATCATGTCTTTCTAAATCTCTATTAAAATAATTTACGTTTACTCTAGCTAAATTACGATACACATGTTTCTTTAATAAAGGTTTTTGTGAACTAGTTTCAAATTCACAGTACATTAAAAAATGGCGACCTATCAGTATCTATTACCACACAGTTGCTGAGCTTAAAATTCACATATAGATGATCTATTAATGTCATACTGTTATTAAGTGAAATATGCAGCATCACAAATATGTTTTATCTCAATTGGTTCAAATAGAGATAGTAGGTGCTGTACTTGTTGGGATTTTTCATTTAAAAGGTCGATATTAAAGTCGCCTAGACATAATAATCTAGATATCAACACCAAAATATATACCTATTAAAATATCTTCGAATATATTTGTAAACAGTTATATATTTGACTTTGGTGGTCTGTATACAACAGAAAGTGCATATTTTATTCCACTAAGCTTAAATTTTATCCACAAGTGCTCTAGAAATTCAAAGTTATCACATATATGTAAATCATATTTTATATAATCCTTTATATAGATTCCTACACCACTCCCTCGTTTAGTTGTTCTGTCAGATCTAATAAATGAATAGGTATTTATCTTTAATACAATAGAATGGATGACATGGGTTAACCACGTCTCAGAAACACGGAAAATATCATAATTTTTGTATATAGGATGTTTTTGATTTCATTTAACTTTGGTACAAGGGAACAAACATTTAAATATCCAGCAGAAAATGTCATTTAATATAAATTTAATTTAAATAACCAAATAAACTTTACCTATGAGCATTAGCATATTTCTATGAATAAAGATCATTATTCAATTAAAAAGTGGAAATAAAAAGTATAAAATATTGTCATGAAAATTCTTAAAGCCTACTTTGTGTACGCACGCAACCGACTCGTGATCGAAGCAACGCTGACGTGTGGAAACAGCCGGCCCGCGTCTCGAATAGCCGGCCCGCATCTCGAATATAGAAGAATACGACGTAATGCCTGCCGCTGATGCGCTAGAAACAGCTGGAATGGCGAGGTGTGCCGTTTAGTCATCAAAGTAGAATCTTCGCGAGCCTCTAGCATTTTCCAGTAGCGGAGTTGGACTAATATAAATAGCCAACGTATCAGCGCCGAGTTTAGTTTAATATAGAACGTTGTATTGAAAAGTTAAAGTGTAATAAATAAATTAGAATTGTTAGTTAGTGTCTAAATATTATATAAATTAAATAGTACGTCTGAAATAAATTGTAAATAGTGTGTTTTTAAATAAATAAACTTTAAATAAATTAGACTTTCGTCACAATATTTAAAATAAAAAGGTTAAATAGATAATTAAGAATTAAAAGCAAATAAGAGGACCATACAAATGTTTTCGCCAACTTTCGCCAATTTTGCTATTTTCAACCTCATATATGGACAAGTCCATATAAGGTGGGAAATATGATGTAGGGAAACCACGAAAACCTATATCACGGTACTGTACTGTACAGTAATGATATGGCATTATATGATTGGGAAAAGTTTTATCTAATAGATAGTGGGGCTGAGTTTAGCAGATCCTTGGTAGTCTGAGAGTAATCTTAAATTTGGTTGTGAGAGTTTTCTTTTCCGATTTCGAAATAGTGGGAGGCGGCGTGGGCTCCAAGGGGTTTGTGAAGTGTCTCGAGAGTGTGTGTTTGAGCCTTTCATAGTGCGAGAGACGTATTGTTTCCTGAGGGTTTGGAAACGTGTGAGAATGGGAGTGCCGGATATGTTTTCGAAACTTCTCAAGAGAAGATATATTAGCATCATCCGAGTATACACGTCTATCGAGCATGGTGAATTTGTTTGCAAGATGTGTTGGAAGTACGCCGTAAGCTACTGCTCTGTAAAGAGGGGATAAAAGAAGTGTAGGTGTGATTTAAAGTGTTTGGTTTTCATTGCCCAATTCGTCTACACAGAGCCCCAAGGAGACAAGCTCGCTTTCGCATCTTGTCGAGAGAGCATTGGACACCAGATGACCAATAATTGAGCGTACGAAAGAATCATACTCCCAAATAGTCAACTTCCGTCTGTTGAGCGAGTCTGGCTCCCAGGATATTTAAATTGCTATACACCAGCGAGAATACTGGTTTAACGGATTTTGGGTTAGAGAACTTAGTTGGTCAGAATTGTTAGCTACATCAGAGAGCCGAGCATAGTATATCGTCGGAGTATAAAAGGCATTTTGACGATGGGTGGTTTGGAGGTGAATAGGTCTGACGGGGCGTTGCCAACTTTGACCGTGATTGTTCTGTCAGTGAGGTAGTAATGAATGAGTTTGGAGATACTGGGGGAGAAGACCTATATCCATGAGCTTTTTACTAGTTTAACATGCCAGACTTAGTAGTCAAAGGCTTTTTGAACATCTAGAAGAATAGCTGATGAGATTTGTTGGAAGTTTACTTTAATATAATATGGCAACCCCTTATAGATATACCAAATCCATCCCATCGCGCGACAATTATTTTGTTCTTTTTATTTGGAATGTCAGTTGAACGCATGATACAAAAAATAGTATCATTAATTGAACGTATAAAAGCTGGGTTCGGAAAATAAACCCCTTTTCTCTTTTCACTCCACGTCTAACCTCACGTCACAGAGTTACAACGATTTAGCATGGACTGAAGTTAAATATGGAGTTAAAAGAGTCCACCTTCCGAACTCAAGATAAATAGGTATGAAATAAAGGTGCGTAGCAAATACCGTTGTTGGTATGAAATAGGTTCACAGGAGGCCGGTATTCGTAGTATCACATACCATGCGTTATGTGAAACTTTTTATTTCAATTTCAGCTGTATCTAGGCCGTTGGAGTCTATGCCGGTCGGCGTATCCAGGTATGGGCACAGAATAACAACCTACCTATTACAGAAGCGAAGGATATAGCTAATTTTTAGGGTCCAAAATGTTTTGCGCATGATCAGGTCCACCATTTTATGACCGGCAAAACTGTCATGTGACCAGGGCCGACGAGAGGGAGCGGTAGCTGGGACATATTCCCGGGGTCAGGGCACAAAATGAAGAAATGTAGTTACTGGACAACTCTGCACTCAACAGAAGACTCGAAAGAAAGAAAAGCCATTATTGAGCTAGTGCAGTGAACGTTAGTGCTAGTGTAAAACACTGTAATAAATCGTTACGCCATTTATTGATGATGCTTTTCTATCAACGACGAACAACTACTAGATTAATTTTGTTTACAAAAATTGAATTGCAAACAATCACGGATTTATCCACCGAGTTGTTAAATTATTATAAGAGAGTATGGCGAAAGTCTTATTACAGGATTGTTTATGGTAATATTGACATATATTATAAGGCTCTAAAACACATAAATGGCTTTCAAAATTACAGTTGGGAAGTATATTTGCATTTTTAATGCCAGTTATTATGAGTTTAATCTATTTTTCTAGATCCAATTATTATAGTTGAAGGTGTAATTAATACATCAATAAATTGTAAAAGAATCACTCTGTTAAAGAGTTAATGTTTTCTAAAAAAACTGATGAATTAAGCAAAACGAGTATTCGATCTGGATCCTCAAGTAAAAACCTTTTTTAGTTTAGCGATCAGTACAATTTACTTCAAAATAAATTATTGTGAAGCCTTATTTTTCAATTATATCACTAACCTTCAATTCAGAGAAGAAAGAGTGGATGTTGCTAAATAGGTTTTTTACAGATATTTAAATTATTATTTTCTCAGTATATTATCCGAATTTATTTGAATCTTTTTCATTTTTATCAGTGTAACAACCGGAAAAAAGTATAGCAATCAAAGTATGTGGGTGCCACAGTTTATAGCTAAAGAATCAGATCGCTCACTCTGCGTCGGCACTTTTGATCTCAATGTTCCAGTTTATATACTGCGCAACTCGGATAATACAATATATGACAACCACCTATAACTGATTCTTTAGCAATAAACTGTGACTCCAAAAATAATATTCACTGACACTGACAGCAGCAAGCAAAATATAAGGTGCGTTTTAATCATCCGCTTCTGCTTCCGGAATTGTCGGTTTAGTCGTTTTAACCTGTCGGATTAAAACAAGAAAACCGATAATTCCGAAGCGGAAGCGGATGATTAAAACGCACTTATTAAAAATATTGCGCCAAGATGTAGGCAACACGTAATAACGGATCAAAATGGCGGAGTTTTCTATCTCCTTTTAAAAGGCACTCAGAAAGCTGCGCAGTGCGACCATTCTTCGTATAGTAAAAGAAAATCAAAGTATGTGACTGGACGGCATGCGGATGCGCTCATGGCATGTGAATGCCAATTTGTTAGTAATACGAGGGTTAGTTCGTATTTTTATTTTGTAACCTCTTACATTTACATTTTTTATTATTAACCTGTCTACCAGTTATTTTCATGATAGTTTGACAAGTTGTCATGGAGGAAACGCCACAAACATTTCTCAAGTTCACAATTCCCATCAAAATTTTCGTAACTCATGAATCCATTTATTTCAAACAGCACCAACCTCACTGATGAAAGTTTCTTTAGCTCAGGTAAACATTTCTAAATTGAAAAATATCTCGGCAAACATCACGAAAAATTAATTTGCCTTTTTTGTAGCTCCAACATTTATCAATGGCCAAAATGTGTTCGTGTCTCAAGAAAAAAATAGAAAAATATTAGACTCAGTACACACTTCAGTTATAGGGAATCCACCAATCAGTTACAACGGTATAAGTTCGTACGGTTTTTATCCAGGCAATTACATTAAAGCTGAAAAACATTTTTTGCCACCTTCTGGAGTTCTTTTTACGTTTTCCCCTCATTTTGGTCAACATTATGGAACGACTAATCATTCAACACAAGCGTCAGTAGTTTTTGTATTAATCATCTTTACTAATATAGGTTCGTTTCATTATAGATGTTCTCAATTAAATACAATTCTTTCCAGAATAATCAATTTTGATATGTTCTAAAAATTGTTGGTTTGAAAAGATTGGATATTGCTTGGAACATCTATTGAAACGAACTTCATATTACTCCTGTTCCTACAGTAATCGAAAAAATAGTTACTTGCAGTGAGGATTGTGAAACATCATGATCCATCCTCAAAAGTTAAAATAAATATTTATATACATATAAGCATTATTAAAATGACAATTGTTAGATTAGCTACAAAAACTCTTTGATTAATTACTATTTATTTATCTCATTAAAGGCACCAAATTAACCCTCTGTTTTCCAACCTAAATGAATTGCCAAATCTGAATTCTTTTTGTTGTACAAATCACGCAATGCCAAGAAGAACTGGTGGTGTATCTGGAATGGGACATCCGCACAACGCTATACCCCCTAACGGATTTGGCGGAGCGGATTACCAACACTTATCCCAAAATCCGTTTTTCTATCAATGTCAAAAATATCCCTTTTACAAATTGAAGTTTCATATGGACAATTGCACTTCATGTTCGGATTTATTGAATGGCATCACCCAAGTTCCTGGATCACGTAAGTTTCTGGGCGCAGCGGTCCAATTCTATATACGAGTAGTTCTAATTTACATGTTCAGATTTGTTTGTATTCCGAAACCTGATAAGATTGTAGTAATTGTTGTAAAACCACTAACCACTATTTATTTGGCAGTATTTGAAAAGCGATTATAACATGTTGTCCAAGAAATAAATGCAGAAGATGCCATAAGTTCAAGGTTTGGTCATGAGGAGACGTCCACAAAGAAAGTTGTGCCGTCACTCCTTTGCTTGATCTTTATTATTTTTAATGCCAGGGCCTATCTGTATCTGTAACGTGTGGGGGGTAGGTTACCCCTACGGCACTTAGGCCTCACTTGGCCCATTGTGCATCCTCCCAAGATAATAGGCATCTCCTAGCTCATGAGCCAGCCTACAGATTTAATGTAGTTGACAAAGTCGCCAAGAGGTTATTCTCTTATATCGGTAGGTGTTAGCCGATACTCGCCGAACACAAATCTTCTAATAAATGAGAGCGCCGAGCAGTCGTATAGGATATGCTAAATGGTCTCATCTCTTGTTCGCACTCCTTGCAGAGTGCGGATTCTGACAACCCCATGATATGGAGATGCTTCCGTACTTGGCCAGTCAGAATGCCTGTGACTAGACGCAGATTCTGTCTGGTCATGGTCAAGTATTTGTTTGCTGCAGTGTTGTCAGGATAATTTAAAAGCTCCCTGTCAACTCTGCAGTTTCTTGTTTCGCCGCATATTTTCTTGAATTTTACAAGAGAATGTTCTTTAATTAGGTCTGTCACCGATTTTGTCAGGCCAATATAGAAGGGCCAGATCCAAAAAGTATTTCGTTGGCTGCTTTCGGTGTGACGTAACCTTTGATCCATCTTAAGGTGACCACATTGTTGATGGATACTTCGGCCAAAGCTTCGTGACATTCTAGTACTAACCCTGAGTAAATTCGTGGTCTATTCAGGGTGAGTAGTGCTTGTCTACTATTTGTATAGATGAGCATGTTCCTTCCAGTGATATTGTTTCTGGTGATTTCGTTTGCTGCTATGAGAATCCCGTGAGCTCTATTTGAACTACACTGACACTATTGCTCACAGCCCATTTTATGTTTAGGTTTAAGGATCTGGATCGAGTATATTCCACATCCTGAGCCTTGTTTTGTTTTAGAACCGTCGGTATAGATATGAATCGTACCTGTCACTTTCGGCTCTTCTATTTGTTCTGTTATAACTTTGTATGGCTTATGGAAGATATATCTTGGTGAGATGGAGTCAATGTTCGCTTGAAGCCACGGGAGCGTATCGAGCTCCCCCTGCCAAAAGCGACGTCTCGCCTCACCAGATCCTACATCAGGTTCTAATTCCAACCATGCGAAGGCGTGTCATTGTCATCAGAGCAACCTCCTTGATGTAAATATCAAGGGGAGTGAGACTCAGAATGACTTCCATGGCTCTGGTCGATGTTGTTTTCATGGCTCCTGTTATGTTGAGACATGCTGTTCTTTGAATTTGTTCTAATTTACGGATAACTGTATCAATTTTTGGGTTTTCGGTACCCAGACAACTGCACCGTATGTTGTCTTATGATAGCCGTGTAAGTCTGTGCGATGACTCTGGGGGAGAAACCCTATAGGTGCACCCCACGGTTCGGCGGCATTATTGATAAGCAATATGTATGCTCTTTTGACTCCGTTTTCTGAATGCGAGTTCCATGTTAACTTGCTGTCAAAGATGAGATCTAGGTACTTCACATCTGTTGCAAAGTTTAATTTTGTGTTTAGGAGTTCTAAAGGTTTTAATTCCATTTTCATCGTTTTCCTTGTGAAAATGCCCAGACAGTACACCAAATCCTTTGGATATCTACTGAACATCCCAATATCCACTGAATGTCCAGTCCATGGTAGATATCTATTTTATATCCATGAAATGTAATTTATAGACATGCAAATGTCCATAAATAATAGTAATTATATAGCAAATTATTAAAAAATTACGCCATTGTGCTCGCCATTGTGGGTAATAGTACCGTTCAGATATTTAAAATTAATTTTTTTTAAGGTGTATTCAATATCTCATGAACATCTACTAAATATATCAAAGTCTAGGCGCGAACGCAAACCATCGTGGATATCCACTAGATGTTATTTGATTCTGCTTACTAAGTATAGATGGCGATACTACTATCGCATCTACTCATGCTCGACCCGCCGTAATTGAGTTCGATCGAAATTTGTGTCCTAATCATTCCATTAGAGACTGGAGTCGAGAATTTTCATTTATTGCTGAAGAGTCCTAATAAGGATGACTTGCTCCTTAGTGTGCAAAATCAAAGGCAGAGTGTTGAAAATATTTTGAGTGTTGAAAATATTTTGAGTGTTGAAAATATTTTGAGTGTTGAAAATATTTTTTATCTCTGCTATTTTCTTCCGACGTTATTCAATAATCATTGGTTACTTATGAACCTCTACTAAAGATACCCATAAAATATTTTGCTGAATGTCCGAATATCTTCTATATCCTGGGATATAGATGGACATTTGGATATCCATATTAGATCCACGGAATATTTCTGATATCCTGTGGATATATTGGATATCCACAAAAGATATTCTGTGGATATCTCTGGGATTTGGTGTGTTGTCTGGGGGAGTATTAGAATTAGACCATCGATATCGCTTTCACCAAGCGAAATGGAGGTAAACAATATAAGAGGTTTACTTGGCTGTTCCCATCTCTAAACCAGAATAATATGTAAAATCTGTCAAACCTAATAAGCTGGAATAAAATATTTGCAAAAGATAACAAGTAAATTCACCGATAGTAAAAAAGTAATACAAATCAATATGAAAGTGGACAAACAATATATACATTTATACTTGCACTGTATATACTGACAGGGCCGGCTCTAGGCATGTGCAAAGTGTGCAGTTGCACAGGGCGCCAAATTCTAGGGGCGCCAAAAAATTACATTTATCAATTTAAAATAAAATATTAGTTTTTTATTTGTCTAGTCATTAAGAAGAGCAGCCGTGGCGGTTTAGATTTAATTTTAAATAAATAATTTTGATTATTTACCTATATTTTATTAATTTTTGATGCCGCCCGTGCGATTGTGCGTAAGAAACTCAGCGCCCTGCAACGCCACCCCTACGATAGAGCGCTCGCGACTTTTTCTTGTACTGCAAAGCGCGTAAAATCCTGAGTTCAAAATTTGTATCTAGTGTCGATGTCACGATTTGCTAGCCTTTTCTATCTTACAGGGAGAATGTTTTACCGCGAGATCCTTCACTACTTTTTTGAATAGCGCTGCCGTTGAATTGATGTAATAATGACAAAAAGAAACCTGGTTCGGAGTATAAAAAAAGACGCATTGAAAAGCAGGAGGTATTAAAAAAGCAGACTGGAGCTTTAAAAAGTTTGTTGAAAGACTTCCCTGGATCAAGTAAGAAGCAAGAAGAGTCAATTCCGGTACCGTCCAATGAAAAGGAACTTAATGCATCAGAATCTGATATCACACCTCGTTTGCAAGCAGAAAAACATAATTCAGTATCTGATTTACCAACAGAAATAACAGAAAAAGTTTCACCACCACCTCAAATCCTGGTACATGGCCAAGTCATATTTCAGATTCAGACAGAATACTACTTGTAAAGGGATTTTCAGTTGAGCCGCTATACAATTTTGAATTTCCTAGCGAAGGTTTCAGCAGAAGATTTAGTTCAAACTTTTAGAAACGTAAATTGGAAAATGTAGAGCTAGTTTTAAGAGATTCGCTGGTAAGCTTTTTTCTGTCACTAATACTTCATTGGTTAATGAATGTAACGACTGAAGATATATTGGTAAAATTCTAAAATTACATGAAACTACTAAAGTTCACTACGAGGCACAAACTTTATTATTCGAACTCTCGTATAGAATAAAACCCTCTAAAACTATAGATAACGAGGCACAACGGATCCTAAACGCTGAAATAAAGTACTTGAATGATGTGCTACGTCGCTTAGTCTCCATAATAAAATTGTTAGGTCAAAGCTGTCTTTCTTTTTGGGGTACTGAAGAAAGATTATATGAACATAATAATGCCAATTTTTTGTAATTGGTTCAACTTTTGGCAGAATACGATCCTATAATGGAAGAGCATGTGAGAAGAATATTGAAAAAAGAAGCAACATATTTGGGAAAGAATTTCCAGAATGAAATGATATATATCATATCAAGTAACATGCGAAATACTATATTGGAGCAGGTTCGGAGAGTATTATTCAATAATATTACACCCGATCTAAGCAAAACTGAACAGATGACACTTGTTATAAGATATGTTACAATTGAAAACAATGAGGTTCAAATTAATGGAAATTTTTTTTGGGTTTTTACCAGTTGAGAGATCTACGAGCCAGTAACTGTTTGATATTTTAATAGCTGAGCAGAAAAAACTAGAAAATATGCGTGGGCAGGGGTACGATAACGGCGCGAATATAAAAGGGGAACGGTCACGCGTCCAAAGAAAAATTCGAGACATTAACCCTCGTGCATTTTTTGTTCCATGTGGTAGCCATTCTTTAAATTTTGTAATTAATGACATGGCTAAGTCCTTTTTAGAAGCTGCTAACTTCTTCAATACTGTATAAAAGATTCATTTATTTTTTTCGCGTCGACATTTAGATGGTCAATTTTACTTCAATATGTTGAGATTATAACATTGAAACCACTCAGCGATACACGGTGGGAAAGCAGAATTATTGCCATAAAACCTTTGAGATACTAAAATAAATATTGGTTAAATTTATGAAGCTCTTTTTTCTACATATAACGATCCAAATATTGATGCTGCAATCAGAGATGAAGCGTTTGGTTTACTTACGCAAATTAAACAGTTCAAATTTTTATGTTCTGTTGTTATTTGGTTTACTCTTTTTAATCACGTCAACTTATGATTATGTTATTCATTCTGCCACTGAGGTTTTAAAGAATTTGCAGAATTTCTTCACAATTTAAGAGAAAATCAATTTGATCAACTGCTCGTGAATGCGGGGGAATTTGTTTATGAAAACGAAGATGAACCTATCATAGAATAAAAAGTATAAAATAGAATTTTATTATCTTGTTTAAATGCTTTGGAGCAAAGATTTTACCCTCGAAAATTTTTATTTTTTTTATGATATTCCCAACTTAAAGCAAGAACCCAAAAGCCAGATAATAGCATAGTGCAAAAAACTTGAGAACGTCTTAACTGACCAAGATAATAGTGATATAAATGGCTTAGAGCTAGCTGGACGAACTGATCAGATACTCTTTTAAACAAAAAAAAAACTCCTAAAGAAGTACTTACTTCAATTTATAACAAAATTGAATTTTGCTCCCAACTTAAGTAGAGCCATCCGGATCTTTTTACCGCTTCCAGTAACTGTCGCTACCGGAGAAAGGACCAAGACTTACCTACGTACCACAATCACACAAAATCGACTTTGTGGTCCTGCTATTACTGCAATAGAACATGAGATATGTGAGAAAACCAATATTACAAAAATCATAAGACAGTTTGCTGAAATTAAAGTTAAAAAAAAAATTATAGTAGTTAGGCTAGATAGGCGGGAGGCGCCAACTCAGGATTTTGCACACAGCGAAAAAAATGTTAGAGCCGGGCTCTGATACTGACCAGGTATTGTCAGGCCTGGGTACTACTTCTACTTCTCATTTTAGATAGGCTTAAAATCAATACATTGGAGTTCCCATCCCAAATTTTCGGGGTACAACTGTTTAGTTTATTAAAAAAAATGGTTTTTATATTTTTATTTGAAGACATTAACCGAATTATAATAATTTGATATTTTAGAAGGTACAGCTGATTTCAATAACATTTGCGGTTTGAACATTAAACATGAACGAAACAGTCTTTACCAAGGATCTCCCAATAATTCATGTAAGGAATACTCTTTTATTAATTTTCTAATTACATTATCTTTTGTCATTCGTATATATCCGACGCAAATTATCACAAAATCATTTTAATTCAGGCGTCTAATATCAAATGTAGCAAAGTCCACTTTTATAAATTTTCCACTACACAACAAAAACTATTTAAAAAATATTAGGACGTTACATAAAATTACTGTTTTGGCTTTTAAGTGTGTAAATAAATTATTTTATGTAAATGGGTTTTAAATAATATTTTAAATTGGCTATATATATTGGAGTTTGCTATTTGATATTTAAGGTTGGAGTTTGCTATGTATGGTTTGTTCATGAAAGGAGATTGCTGTTTATGATAGTAAACTGAGGTGTGAAAACATCCAGGACTGTCTTGAATACAAACACAGTTCTGCTCACTACCCAGACAGCACACCAAATCCTTTGGATATCTACTGAACATCCCAATATCCACTGAATGTCCAGTCCATGGTTGATATCCATTTTATATCCATGAGATGTAATTTATACACACGCAAATGTCCATAAATAATAGTAATTATATAGTAAATTATTAAAAAATTACGCCATTGTGGCTAATAGTACCGTTCATATATTTAAAATTATTTTTTTTAAGATGTATTCAATATCTCATGGGCATCTACTAAATATATAAAAGTCTAGGCGCGAACGCAAACAATCGTAGATATCCACTAGATGTTATTTGATTTTGCTTACTAAGTATAGATGGCGATACCACTTACGCATCTACTCATGCTCGACCCGCCGTAATTGAGTTCGATCGAAATTTTTGTCCTAATCAGACTCCATTAGAGACTGGAGTCGAGAATTTCCATTTATTGCTGAAGAGTCCTAATAAGGATGACTTTCTCCTTAGTGGGCAAAATCAAAGGCAGAGTGTTGAAAATATTTTGAGTGTTGAAAATATTTTTTTCTACAAGCGTGCGAGAAGATGATCTTCTCGCACGCAGAGAAATATAAATTGAAAAAAAGCAAGGTATACTTACCGCCGAGGCCCGGGTTTGAACCTAAGATCTTTGCGTTATGAGCCCGAAACCCTAACCACTACACCAATTCAGCACATAACATCGGTTTAATATATGTATACTTAAACTGTATGTTGTACCTAATGTCATTATACAGGTTAATTCTCTACTTTAGAAATAAATGCGCTTGTAGAAAAAATGTTGATCGTAACACGTGCTATAAGCACTTTTACGCACGAAACTGCGTTACCCGCACGACTCGCAGCGGAGTGCGGGTAGCACTTGTTGCGATGACTACTATTTATCTCTGCTATTTTCTTTCGACGTTATTCAATAATCATTGGTTACTTATGAACCTCTACTAAAGATACCCATAAAATATTTTGCTCAATATCCGAATATCTTCTATATCCTGGGATATAGACGGACATTTGGTTGGTAATCCATATTGGATATATTGAATATCCACAAAATATATTCTGTGGATATCTCTGGGATTTCTTGTATTTTCTGGAAGATATCCATTAGATATTTTGCTGGATATCCATTAGGATATCTTCTAGATTCTGGATATAGACGGACATTTGGATATCCATATTAGATCCACGGAATATTTCTGATATCCTGTGGATATATTGGATATCCACAAAAGATATTCTGTGGATATTTCTGGGATTTGGTGTGTTGTCTGGGTAATTAATACTGTGATTAACAGAAACAAAAAACAAATGTTTTTCATATTATCAATATGGGCGACGACCAAAAAATTGCTGGAGGGCAAGTCTTATAGGCAAGTTCAAAATGCCGCAGGCTATAGACGAAAGCCATAGCGAAAAATCCAAAAGCTGAAATCCAGGGCGCATGCCCTCGTGTGGAGGCGCCTAAGAATGTGTCCCTTAAAGTTAACCATAAATGAGAACCTTTTTTATTATAAGTTTATTAATGCAAGCAAGAAACTAAAATAACAACGTTGCCAGTAAACGGCCGCCTGGCTGCGTGGAGATAACTACCGAGTATGCACCTTTGACCGTCTGTGTGTATTGTGCTATCTGTCTGCACTTTGTGCTGTGTGATGTGAATATATATGCTGCGTTTGAGAATCCACATCGGATGCATTTTTTACATCTCGAGCGTTTTTTTATCCACATCGGACACATCTGTCCCATTACATTTACGTATACTGAACCACGTGATCAAAGATTTTTTACATCTCAGATGTATCCGATGTGGATTCTCAAACGCAGCAATATATAGCGAAAGTAAAAGTTGGAAAGGCTTTTGGTAGGTAGAGAGGGAGTAAACGTCAAACCACTGGGGTCAAACCACGTCGGACGGCTTCGAGAATTTCGCAGTAATGTTTACCTGCCAGTGTCGTTTCATAGAATAAGTAATTTTAAATTGTTATCGGCGGAACCGGACAATCGCATGCATTTATGGACTAAAAATAATTATTAAACATGTGTATTATAATATTCAAATCATAATTTTACAAAATTTCAACAGCTATTCACAATTTATTAAACTATTTATTCGAATTTGTTATTAACATCCATAAAATAATTTTGTACGCCAATGTATCGCGTCCACATCGGTGAGATCCGCCGCAAACCTATCAATTTATGTGTATAAAGTGGGAGAACTGGCAAAAGCCTTTCCAACTGTTACTTCTGCTATACCCACAATCCCAACGCAGCCAGGCCGTTGGCAACGCAACCAGTGACTTAAAAAAAAACGCTCAAACACGTGAATAGATTTTACATTGGATATATTTGTTGCCAATAAAATGAAATTTTTTTTCTTCAACCCCTTAGCTGCAATCCTACCCAACTTTTCTTTTAAATGCAAAGACATGTTGTGTGTAGGTCATTGAAAAGCTCGTGAAAAATGGAATCTCACCATACCCTATTTTTATTTCTGAGCTATTCTAGATTCTTAGTCTTTCGGTAGCTATATTGTCATTGTCGTCGCCTCTGCACCATACACTTATTGTTGTATCAATTTGTTTTGTCTCAATTTAAATATATAAGTTTAGTTGCTTTTTATCTGGTCATGATATTGGGCTGGTTTCATAAAAGTTCTACGTAAATATATCTTTTTAAATTTTAGTTGATAATGGTGTTAATGGTGTTCACGATGATACAGTTCAGACTCAATTTGGTAATGACCGTACTGGTGTAAGTAAACCTCTAAAATTAAGGATCATACATATTTTGTAATCATAAAATATAACAAAACAACCAATTTTCAATAATCAAAATCCACGAAAAAACGAACACAATTATTAAGACAGAAAGTTCAAGCCAATCAAACTACGTATACCAATTTTTAAAACATAAAAACAAATCATTCTTAAAAACCCTACCTACGTCAATGATCACTTTGCCATAATATCATGATGGTATTAAAGAATCAATTTTATACTGATTCCATTTCTTTTATAAACTTATTCATTATTTCTGGCCACCCTTACGAGATACCTATAAAAAAGGATTTGTTATCAATGTAGAAAATAGTAAATAATTTGACAGCTGCAGTTTAAATTGGAATGAATTCATAAAAAAATGCTTCAGGTTAGACATTTAAACATACGTAAACCTGTAACTCCTCCTAAATGTCATGTGGCTGACGCAGTGGATGAGAAACTGAGTAACTGTTGCGAGACCGTCAATGACCAACAAGATCAACAGCAGCAGCAGAAACCGGAGCAGCATCAAGTTGAGACTTGCGAGAAATCTGAACAAACATCTTTTTCTTGTGACGGAGAAGGTACAATAACAATTCACTGATTCAATTTCTAAGTGATACATACATGTTTTCTCTTTAGAAGCAGAACGAAGTAAGTCTAAAGGTAAAAAATTGACTAAAAAGAATTCGAAGAAAAAGAAAAATCCTCATTTGTCGTCTAGTGAAGAAAACCCTTGCCCTAAAACTTGTCGTACTAGACGAAAAAAGAAGAAACCTGAGTCAGAACATGAAACATCCTCTTCGTCAGCTACGGAATAATATAAAATGGTGGGTATATAAATAATTGAATTTGTTTAATTAGTCAGTAATACATTCCCTAATCTAAATTACTTGAATCAAAAGTAATGTTTGGTGTATCCTCTTTCGAAAATATATTCGATCTATCTGTTTCCAAAACCCATATATACAATGAACTTGAGTTCATTGATATTATCACGTCAATATCCGTTTAATATTAGTTCATCAACAATCATGTGTCTTTACTTATCCTCCTGTAAAATTGATCACCACCCAGACAACACACATATATAGTCAACTGGAAGTCCATTTTAGATCCATTTGAGGGCCAGAACGTCCATTTGGGCATCCAGTGTACGTCCGTGTATGATCATTAATTTGACAGCTGCATATCGAAGTCCAAAGGACGTCTGTTTTTGGACTTAATTGTAAGTTTAGTACAAAGCTTCTCTATTTACATTTAAAACCCGGTCATAAATAAAAAAGGTAGTTTTGCAGGGGCGGCTCGAGCACAGCCCTAGGCACCCCACTGATTTTTGTACAATAACTCCTGACCTACATTTAGTTTTGTTGATATGTTAAGTCCAGGACGGACGAATTGCTCTAGAAATTCAGTTAAAAAATTGTAAATAGCTCGTTAACTAAGAAAGATACAAAGTTCATTTCGCTATAAAAAAAATTTAAAAATTCATAGTTCTTTTTAATTTTAGGATCGATAAAGCAAGTTTCTTTATGTCAAAAAAGTACGGGGGGTTAAAAGGTAACCAACTCCCCAACTTTTTTTAAAGGGGTCGCTTTAATTTTTTTTTTCTTTAGAATATTGGGCCTTCAAACCTACAGCACTGGCAAAAATTTCGAAGAAAAAATCGCAACAGCAAACTTTTTACAAAAAAAAATAAAAACGTTTTTCTGAATGTTAGTTAAACACCCTGTAACTTTGTTGGGAGCCAGTTTTTGATATAGGTAAATACAGCCAAATCCACTTATTTTTTGGTAATCTATCTGAGGATGAATTTATGACACACCTTTTTGAAACACCCTGTATATTTTGATATTTTCAATAGAATTGGTCATTAAAAATTGACAAAGTAAATTTATCACATTTCATTCAATCAGCGGAAGTTTGAAATCTTATTCTAGTATCTAGTAAGAATTTTTTAAATGGCTCCTTGGTTGAGATCGCCTAGCGCTTGAATGCCAAGAAAGACGATGGACGTGTCGTGAGTTCGATACCTGCTCTGGTCAAGTGATTTTTAATAAAAAAATAATTATTAAATGGTGTATAGCGGCTTGCGAAAATAATAAATTAATTATTAATATTATAAAATAGTGTGTAGTGAGTTGCGGTTGTGTAAAAAAAGGAACGTCCAAATATAATCCAGAATTGGATGTCCTATGAACGGTCAAAAGTGTGCCATTTGTATACTTCACTGGAGGTCCAAAAAAAACTCATCTTTGGACGTCCAGACATCCAAAATTGAATATCGAATCGACGTCCAATGTACCTATTTGTGCTGTCTGGGCACGTAGTATCGCGTTAGTCATACCTCTCAATATATGTTAAAAGATGAAAAAAAATTTACCAGACGTCCCCATCCTCAAGCTATCTTCATTCAGTTATAATACCTCTTGGGAGTCTCGGGTAAAGTGTGCATGTGTTTTAGTCACAGCAAACTCAAGATCGGTCATATGGAACTCGATGACGATTTTTGTTGCAACCAGAAATGCAGCTAATGTTATTTATGCGATTTGTGCATACAATCATTACATAAACAATGTTAGTAACAAAATTATGAAAAAAAAAAAAAAGAGAAACAGAAGATCGTAATCTTTGTGATTGATTTAAATTCTTCATGAATTGCTTCTTAATGTAGGGTGACCATACGTACAGTTTGTCCAGCATTTGATCTTGTACAGCAAACGTATAACGAAACGCCGTATGTGTCCAGTAAAACGCTGAATTTGTTTAGCAAAACACCATTATTGTCCAGCAAATGTAATATGAAGTGTCGGATTGGGTCGTCGGTCTACCAGTCCAATGGTATCAGTCCAAAGACCGGTAGGCCCTCGTTTAAGCAGTGGTGGGCCCTCGTTCAGGCAGTCGGCCCTCGTTCAGGCAGTGGGCCCTCGTTCAGGCAGTGGGTCCTCGTTCAGTCAGTGGGCCCTTAAGAACAACAAATGTGATTTCTTCACATTTGTTGGAAAAAGCATCAGTGGGCAAAGAGGACCTTTTTTTGCTCTTCAAGAAATCATCCCATGAAAAAAAAAATGGATAGGTTGCCCCTTTTCCGTCATGACCGGTAGGTCCTGAAGGTCCCAATCCGACACTGGTTATATATGATACATACTAATACAAGACAAAAAAGACTTGACGAGTTAAAAAAAAGTCCTCTAGTTTTCTCTACAGGAATTCTCTATCGGTTGAGTAGCTAAAAAAGGGTCCACACCTCTCGTACGTTCAGCATTGAGTCAGGTCCTCCTCCCTTTTTGGGTCCAACATTGGGTCAGAAGTGATATGGTCACCTCACACATTCAAATACAAACTGATACTACGATCGGCGATCATGTGGACATACCAAAGCAACTACAGGCGATTACTCACCCATTACCATTGATCCTTTACAATTAACGATAAGTAGGTAATTCATACGTAAATAATAAAATTGACAGAAGGCTATACAATGCCTGTTTCAAAAAATTATTAGGATGGGCTATATCAAAAACACAAAAAAGGTGAACTGATTTTAGAGCAGATTATAAATTATTGTTATTTAGCGTCTACTAACTTAAAAGATAGATATTTTCTTAATTTTTACCTACAAAAAAATCTAGTAGAAAATATTTACGGTTTTATGAATTTAACTGCATTCCCTTCGCCCTCAGCCTATCACCTCTTTTATTCTTACTGTGAAGTGATTTCACAAAAACATTTCTAAAGTAGGCCTTGGAAAAATTCAAGTATGTCGGAGCCTACAATTTTTCTCCTTTTTAATTAAGTGTCAGTTTCTTATGGACATGACACGTATCTGTCTTTGTCGGTCATGGCCTACCCACTTTAAAAATCATTCTTTAAAATTTTAAACATGAAAACTTAACACCCAGACAGCAAAAATAGGTCCATTGGACGTCCATTCGATATACAATTTTGGATGTCTGGACGTCCAAAGATTAGTTTTTTCTGGACTTCCGACGTCCAATGGACGTCCAGTGAAGTATACAAATGGCACACTTTTGACCGTTCATAGGATTCTATTTGGACGTTCAATACTGGACATTCAAAAAATGTCCATTGATGGATTATATTCTACTGAGACCACATCCCTACTTTTTTTACAACAACCGCAACTCATCACACACACTATTTTATAGTATTAATAATGTATTTATTATTTTCGCAATCCGCTATACACCATATATTAATTTTTTATTATTGACCAGAGTAGGAATCGAACTCACGACATGTCCATTGTCTTTCTGGGCATTCATATATATCTTTATTCTTTTCACAATATTTACAGTTTAAATTTACATCTACAACAACTGGTTAAATTCTACAATTTCACCAGTAAAATCATCAATAAATTAATATTTTACATCTACTAAATAAATAAACAATTCTCAAATAGTTCGACTGCTTTTTACCCTAATATAATTTGAAGTCATAAAACTATAAATAGCATTTTTCTCAGAATACCGAACGTCGAACACCTGTGTTTTTAGGTGCACAGCGGTGCATTGGAACAAAATGAGTGTCCGGCGCATAGTTAACGAAGCACAAATGACGTATTTCATTATGTCATGATGTTTTCATTGGTTGAAACCGAATAGGTGCGTAAACTATGCCCCGGACACTCATTTCGTCCCAACAGTATATATTAGGGTGAGCTCGAGGCGAGCAGTTCAGTTGTATGTTTGCCATCATTCAGTAGTTGTCTTATTGCCATCGAGTTCAGTTGTCTTTTTGCCATCATCGCTCACAGTTGTCTTTGCCAGGTGCTTTCTGCCGACGGCACGTTACTTTCTACATTTTTACAAGCGTTTAATGCATTTTATTTTCTGGTGAAAGTTATTTCTTCTACAATTGTTATGGCATAAGAAATTCTACAAACAAATGTTTTCAAGTTGGTAACTAAAAAATCAACTATATTAGTTAATCAAATTGTGATGAACTAAAATTGTAAATATTTAAAAGTGTTTAGTGAAGATAAGAAAATTATTATATCTAAATGGAATCAACCACTATGTATTTACTTCAGTGAAAATAGTAAATTAAAAACACTTCTTTTTCTACTACCTATGACTCGTTAGTTATTTCTACAAAAGAACCCAATTCTTCTAACACCAGCGACATATGCTACAGAACATTTTTACCAAAGAAATATTCGGAAGTAACACCGGTATTTTTTCAACAACATTTATTATTTGCGAAGAGGTCTTCGCAGAGATCATCGCCCGATGATCTCCTGGCAGATGTTCGGCCTGTTGGTGATGCTTGTCAAATAAAACGCAGAGGTCAACTCCTTACCAAATTAGGGTATTATTTGACTGTTTTAGCTATTAATGCATGTAGCGGTTAGTGATCTTATTAATTGTTATGTGTGGTTTTAATTATGTATGTATTTCCCTGAAAAAGCTAGTGAAAATACAGGACATTCAAGCGCTAGGCGACCTAGAGCCACTTAAAAAATTCTTACTAGATACGGTTATAATAGAATAAGATTTCAAACTTCCGCTGATAGAATGACATGTAATAGATTTAATTTGTTAATTTTTTATGACCAATTCTATTAAAAATATATATAGATGGGTATTATCTGGCAGGCTAAATAAATAATGACTTAAGATGGACCTCCACTGGACGTCAAAATAATACTAAACTTAAAATTAAGTCTAAAAACAGACGTGCTCTGGACATCGATATGCAGCTGTCAAATTAATGATCATAAACGGACGTACACTCTGGGATGTCCAAATACGGATATGGACGTTCTGGCCCTCAAATGGATCTAAAGTGGACGCCCATTGGACTATGTGTGTTGTCTGGGCACTGGTAGACGAAGCAAGAACCTAAAACTTGCTTTACATCTATCAATTTATTCATGAAGAAATTTAGGAATTAAAATTATTATTCATGAAGAAACTGTCAGATTTAAAGCACGCATTACGATTTCTTATACTCTCTATTCAACGCTATAGGTATACATAAAGTATACGATTAGTTTAATTTAATTATGATATAATAATGGGATTAGTCTATTGATTGCCGAAATATTAACTTCCTACGAATTAGATAAACAGTGGTCGGGGTTTCATATTCAATACCAAAGAAAAAAAGTATTTGTAATACATTTAAACAATAATAAGCTATTTCTTATTTCATTTTAAAAAGGAAATACTCTTACAAAATTATATTTCAGTTAATATGTAGTAGGTACATAAATGATTCTAGTAATTTAAATTCTTCTAATATATCAAACTGTAATCTACAAAACAAAATACAATTAATAACATCCTAATCGAATTATTACATTTAAGGTTAGGTGGGTTAGAGCACAGCACAGAAATTACGTGTAATCTTCTTTAACTCCGCCCGTTAGCGATTTTAATATTTTTGACCCGATCACACGTACGGGATTTTATCCAAGTCCTTTTGAAAAAAATATAAGAATGTTTCGAAATTATTTTGAAAGTAAAACCACCGAATTAGAACTATTCAAGAGTATCATCATCATCATCATCTGAATTAGGGCGTGGTTCAAAGCCCACTTGTACTGAAGCTCTAGGCTTATTGTACCCCTCACAGTTTCTATCCCATCAGATTGATTTTCTTGATGAATTCAAGAATATGTCTGATGGGCGCTTTCGCGATTTCTTCTGGTTCCGAATATTGTACCCCGAAGTACCATTCCCGTTCCCATTTAAGGTTCCGGCAGTGGCATAGTATGTGAATAGGAGTTTCGTCCTCCTCTTCACATATTCTACATAGGGAGTCATCAGATATCCCTAAGAGATTTAGGTGTCTTCTAAGGCCGCAGTGTCCCGTAAGGAGTCCTATTACGGCCTTGAGTTCGCTTCTGCTAAGGTTTAGCAGTTGATGTTGTCTGCTCGTGGATGGCCCCTCTATGAATCTTTTGGACTGTCTAAGCCCAGGCAGTTCCATCCAGAGCCTACGCTGTTCTCTTTCACACGTACGGGATTTTATCCAAGTCCTTCTGAAAAAAAATATAAGAATGTTTCGAAATTATTTTGAAAGTAAAACCACCGAATTAGAACTATTCAAGAGTAACTACCTAGTATTCTAACAACAAACTACAGTTAAGTCCGCCTCTGTCTGATATATTGAAACGGGGAAGAGCAAGTGGCATATGTGCGACATCTGTGTGCGGCTGCGTAAGTAAACCACTGTTGCCAGTACAATTGTACTAGATCTAGTACATTCTCTAAGAATCTGGTACTCTAGTACACTTAATGCAAAATCTAGTACTTTGCTTTTTTCAGCGTATGTCATAGATTACTAATGTGAGCGTAGGTATGTTTCCATTTGACCATTGACGTGTAAAATATATTGTTGGGGATCTTTCTTGTTTTGTTGTTCGTTTTTTTGCTTTTCAATGAACCAAACCATCACAATTCGAAAAATCTGGGTACATTTTATAGAATCTGGTACAATTTTAGGGAATCTGGTACATAACAAAAATATATTGGCAACACTGAAGTAAACGCATTGTCAATTTTATAGGTTATATTTATATTGTTATATTTTTGTAGTGTAATTAACTTTAATTTTTATTTGTTTTTGAACGATTTTTGAGTGTTAGAAACTTATACAGTGCGTAATGCCTTGCTGTGTTATACGTTCCTGCTCTAGCGATAGTCGTTGGTTTAAAAAATCGTCTGGAATAACGTTTCATAGGTTAGTATAAAAATAATAAATATTGTACAGGACAGTATTATTATCGGTTTGTATAAAAATGTGTAAAGTATGGTTTTAAAAAGGCAAAAAAATATAATTCATCAAATAATGTTGAAATAATACTTTTTCATACGAACAATTTATAGGTTTCCGAAAAATCCTGAAAAACGAAAAGCGTGGCTAGAGTTTGTCAACAGGCATAAAAACTGGAAACCTTCTCAATTCAGCAGTATATGTTCCAAGCATTTTCTTGAGAAGTACATTGACCGTACTTCTTTATGCCTTGTTCGATTAAGAGATAATGCAATTCCTACACTTCATCGCTTTCAGGTAATTACAATTATAGTAATAAAGTCTTCAAGGATAAATTAATATCAAATGAATTCCATTAAGATGATAATGATGAACTTACACCTAAAACAGTATATGTCCGTTTAAATAAATATATACATTCATTCAAAAATATTTTCTGTTGTGATTCTTTCACTTTGTATATTAATCAATGGCGAAAAACTACTAAACTAATCCATTCATTCATACTTAAGCCCTTATTTATTGCAATCATTCAGATTGTGTTTTATAATATGCATTGGCTGCCACATTCGAAAATAGGAGACATCTGCTAATTTGAGTTGGGATGGTTTGTACGAGTTTATTTATCTGAGGAGCGAGCATACGTGAATGAATCAGTATTTACGTCTACGATGCTTGCTTTACACTTTAAAATTAATTGCTTACTTTTCTGAAAAATACTTTCAACTATAATAGTTGTAATGAGAAAAATCCATTAAACTGATAATAACTGGGATTAAGAATGCAAAAACACTTCCCTAATGTAATTTTGAAAGTCTTTTGTGCACTTTAGTGCCTTATGTTAAGTCAATACTGAAATAAAACCACAAACCATCCTTGTAACAAGACTCTCCAATTCTCTTTCGTAATAATTTGACATCTATGTGGATAACACCGTGAATTTTGCAATTCAATTTTTTTGAAACAGATATAATATATATATATATAATATATAATATATATAATAGTTGTTCGTCGTTGACACTAATAAATATTTGTAGTTCGGTTTAATTACCCATTCAGCACAAACACATTTCGGAAATATTTCAACAATGTTGTATAAATATCACGAAACATCCCAGAAACATTTCTGAAATATGCCTGAAACGTAAAAATGTCCTGTAAATATAATATTTCACAGTAATATTTCTAAAATGAAAATTTGAAATCTTTTAGAAATATTAAATAGTAATATCTCAGAAATGTATTCTAGTTTTTTTTTTCTAATATACTTTTAGACTAAAAAAAGACATTTAAAAATATACCACGTTTATTTAAAATACACAAAATTCAAACATTGATTCTTAAATAAACAAGTAATATGTTTTAAAGAATATTTCATAAAATATAGAATCGAATTGCTTCATTTCCACCAATTCGTTTAAATGCACTAATTTGAAACAACTAGGTTTTTTTAATAAATGCTCCAAGTAAAGAAACATTTACGATTATTATAATCTAATTATTACGATCAATTATCAATTTTATTTTTACCTAACTTATCTAGGGATGAAAAACTTCATAAACTAAGATTCTACTCACTATATAGTGTGCTTTAGAGTCGTAATTATTTAGTTACACTACCGTTAACGTATAACACTTAACCGCACTATACTCTGTTTTAATCTAACATCACTGAACTAACACAAAGGGCCTGGTTCTCTTGAGTCTTCTTATTAGATTGGTATTGTTGAGGAGCTGGATTATCACAAGGTTTCCATGTTGGAGCAGTTGTTGGTGACTACTGGCAAATTTTTGTATTCTATTTTCAACAGTCTCCACTTTAAGGTCCCTATGGGGTCTATTCTGTAAAAATTCCTTTATATTTAACGGCCTTTAAAAATATTTTCTTCTTTAATTCGGTCACTATTTAAACGGATCTTTAAAATACATTAGAGGACTATCTTAAAGAAATCTGTTTAAATAATGACAGAAGTAAATTAACGAATACAAATATACTTTTAAAGGCCGCCAATATTTTTAAAGGCCGTTAAATATAAAGGAATTGTTACAGAATAGACCCCTTTGAAGATCAGTATTACGTCAGTACCAGGATGCATCGACGATGTTCCTTAATACTTTATTCTGGAAATGTTGAATAACTTGGATGTTACTTTTACTGGCAAATTGCTTCATTTCTACCAATTCCTTTAAATGCACTAATCTGAAACAAAATATAGGTAGTTAAAAAGGATTTATACAAATTATTTGATTACCAATAGTTTTATTAATATTGTTTTAAATTAACTATAATAAAACAATACTCATGTCTAAACAAAACATGAAGATCCACCTAAGCAAGCATTATTTATGTAGTTCTCACCTTAATTTATAGACATATTCTGCTTCCCATATAACAAGTTCACAATGCATGAATATCAAATCTTAATTATTTAGAATATAGGCTTGTTTCTAGCTGGTGGCTGGACAGGGACATATTATGATGATAATAAAATTACTACATATCCCATCTTCTTACAAATCAGAAATTCTTCATTAATTGTTGGCCTTTTAAAACAAAACCTGTTGAGTAACCTTTTGTGTAATATGTATACCATGTTTCAGAAAGATTTTCAGTGAAATATTTAACTAAAATATTTCAGAAACTTGTGCTTGAAATGTTACATGTTTGAAATATTTCTGAACCACTTCTGAAATAATGTGCTGTATGGGAGGCAGAAAAAAAGAAATTTCCCTGTTTGTACAATGCAGCTTCAGTCTACCTTTCAGCATCCGCTCTCCGCTGGCAGTGTGTCAAGTGAATAACTTTTTAATGAATTAGGTAATATTTATGAGTCTAAAAGAAATAGACTAAATGCAGATAGGGCTGAAATGTTGGTGTTTTTGCATCATAATATCAATAAATTAAATTTTAAGTATTAAGTATATACTGTATTTAGTACCTACTACAATTAGGTATATTTGTTGTTGGTGCAAAGTATTTCATTTATGCAGTAAAAAGAGTGAAAAGCGCATTTTTTTGCCGATACGATCAACAACTACCGATATGACGATATACCGATATCAGTATCGGTATCGTTCTATCCCTATAAGAAATGTATTTTTTGGTTTCAATAAAAGTATATGGATTTATAAAACAAGTGAGAAGATTCATCATTTATTATTACTATATATTTTTATTACTTCAGCTAAAGAAAATTAAGTATATTTAATAAAAAATTATTAAAACATGTGCACAGAATAGGTAATTAGACAACAATATTTACGAGGAAGAGTATGATAAGTTGCCTAATGAAGTTAAAGGTTAATGTCAAACGTGAATTTAAAATTTATTCCCAAAAAAAATAGTTCTAATGTAATATTTTCGAATGTAATTTATACTCGTTTTCTTCATTTTCAGTTTGATAGAAAATATAGAATTGATTATTAAATAACTATTTTCCAATCAGTCAGTCACAAAACTGCATTCCAGATAATAATCAAAGGCAGAAATATATTCTTTCTGAATAGGAATTTTGAAGAACATCGTAAAATAATAATAATAATTTAAGTATAGCGCTAGTATCGCTTTTGCTTTCCCTACCATGATTTCGCACTGAGCGAATAGGATTTAAATGGAAGAAAGATGGTCTTCGGTGAAAATTTTAGTTTTTTAAAGTTATACACAAGTACAAAAAATCTGTCTGTATAAATTTGTTTATCTGGATGAGATATTAATTTTTCAAAATAATGATAAAAGGAGCATAAAAACTACAAGAGTTCATTGTTCTTTATGTTGGTAAGGAAAAATATTTTATTGATGGTGTTTTCATCAAATAGTAACAATCCCGGCTATCACGGGGAAATGAATGAAGCAAAATTTTTTAAAATAGTTTGAGGATCAATTACTTATGAATTTATCTGAGAATTCAACGATTGTTATGGATAATGCCTCCTATCACAGCACGTTATTTTTTAAAACGCCCAATAATTCCTGGACAAAACCTGAAATTCAGGATTGGCTGACGACACACAACATTCAATTGGATAATATGTACAAACAAGATTTATTGAACACAGTTTTCAGAAATAAACCACCAAAAATTTATAAAGTAGATCAACTTGCAGAATAATATGGCCACACAGTTATTCGGTTACCTCCTTATCATTGTATATTTAATTCACTTGAAATGATATGGGGTATTGCCAAGAATTATTACAACCGGTATATTGGTAGGGATGGCAACTCAATTCAAAATTGTTTAAAGTACGTGGAAGGAAGCACTACAAACTATAACCTCCCAAATCTGGTCTAATTGTATCAGTCATACTGAAAAAATGTCAGTTATACTGGAAATGTTGGGACCGTGAACGGGAGAATATTTTAGCTGTAATTATTGATTTAAATTCTTATTGTGAATAAAGCTTTACTTATTGTTTATGTTTATCCTATTTAATAATATTGGAAGAACTACTTCTCAAAGATTCTAAAATTGTATATATAGGTTTAATGAATTAATTATTTGAAGTGTCAAAAGATGGTTTAAATTAAACATTAGTTTTTTATAGAATTTCTCTTGAGAGCTTAGGATTTTGTAGCAACGTGGCAACGTCTACGTTCATAAGTTGATGACGTGCATTGGAAATTCCATTGCATTTACTTTAGCTTGCACAAACTGGGGGTACTATATGGTTATCAAGTGACTCAAAGAGGAGACGCTTCGAGATATAATTATGTTTATGTAGAGAGAAATGGTATACATGAAATTACATAAAATATAACGAGTCGTCAACAATATCCGTATCCCACGTGATCTGGTAAAATAAGAAATTAATGAAAATGGCCGCTCTTAGTGACTCTTTTGACAAATTTCGTATCAGTTCTGTCAAATAGGCCAGTGACATTGTTTTAAGATTGCTACTGAAGTTATTAATGTTACTTTTAGTTCATTTAATGACATCAATTTAGCCACGATGGATACGGGTATTGTTGAAGACCCATCTATACCTCTTTTATAACCGTTCCTTCGCATTTTTCTTAACAAATAAAATGTTGTAAATTATAATTACCTATACATGGTGGACCAATTAAAATAGTCCACCTGAAATATTTTTCTAAGAGAAGTTTTTTTTGGGAAATCCTCGAGACCAGTCGATTGTGATATCAAGGGGAATTTCTTTTGATCTTTAATTCATGAATGTAGATTCATCCCCCTGAAGGGGTGGCAATCCCTTCAAGAATACTAACTGGCATGAGGGGTCAAGTGGCAAATCATTTTAAAGGTATTTCAATTCTCTTTTCGAACATGCTGGTATTT